ATCTAGTACATAAAGAAAAAAAATAAACTATCATTGTAATGGACCTCTTAAACATTTGATAAGTTTAGAAACAAAAAGCTTACCAAACTAAAAAAGGACCTGCATTATTGTTAAGGACCTGCAAGTGCTATTAAATAATTATCCATTCATAACACTTTCAGAATCTTCCTTATTAGGTAATACCTAAACCATTGAGATGTGTATTGCATGTGAAAGAAAACAAAATTTGATTATGGATTAGGCTTTGTTATAATCTTTTTTGCATTGTTCAAACATATATAAAAGAACTGGTTTATTTCAAAAAAAAAAATATTAAAAAAAAATAAAGTTAATATGCCCAAGAGAACCACTCTCACGGATATACAAAAACGTGAACTCTGTGAATATGCTTGTGATAATAAAATGAAAAGATCACAATACGTTGATTGAATTGAGAAAAAATAGGGCATTAGAGTTGACGAAAATACTATTTCATATATTTTGAAAACAAGAGAAGAACGTCTTAATTCTGAAGTTATCAACCCTGATGCAAAGCGTCATAGAGCTGTAAACTATCCAGAACTTGACCTTGCCCTTAGAGAATTTGTACTAATCTACCAAAACCAAATGATTCTCTATTAATCGAAAAGGCCAAGGTACTAAATATCATATATTTTTGATGCTTAAAAGCTCTTTGGTATATTCAAGAATGTTAAACTTAAAAAACTATAGTAAAATTAAATAGCTTTTACTAAAACGTACTTATGGCGTTTTACACCTATATATAAATTATCTTAAAAATTAGATAATTAATATGTGTAAGCTGTTATAAATAAAAATACTTTACACCTCCAAAAACCCTTCTTCAACCTAATCCTAATCTTAACTTTAACGTCAAAAAATTAGTGTAAAAAGTTTATATACAAAACTTACAAAGACTTAGAAAAATTTAAAAAAAATAATAAAGCCATATAATAGGTGCAAAACCATCATAGATACGTTTTATAACCAAATTAATTAAATTACTAATACCTTTTTTTTTTGATGTATCATATCCAAACTTCATTTAATTATATTCATTGACAACAACGAAGTTACTTGCTGAAGGTCTGGAAATTCCTCAAGAGGCATTGCAGTTTTCCAATGGTTGGCTCGAGAAATTTAAAGATCAAAATAGAATTCGTCAACGTCATTTGGAAAGAGAAGCTGAATCTGCTGATGAAATAGCTATTAGCAATACTTTACCAATGCTCAAAGACAAATGCTCAAACTATCCTGTAGAAAGAATATATAATATGGATGAAACTGGACTTTTTTATCGGTATAATCTTTTTTTTTTAATAAATAAGCTAAAAGGGTAAGATATTGTAGCAAATTTGTAGTGAATCTAATAAATCTTAGGATTTATTGATCCAAATTGAATGATTCTTAATTTCGATTGCTGGGTTATGAGATATTGGTATTCTGATATTAAATCAATCTTTCTTTTTAACAATCAATGCATAGCATTCAAACACCAATATCTCATAATCCAGTAATCAAACCTAAGAAATTTTTGTACCATTCGATTCGTCTCATCAAGACGAATCGAATAGTATAAAAAAATCGTCTAGCTTGGATCAATAGGTTCCAACTTACACTAGTTCGCCACAATATACCCTTTTATATTATATTTTTCTATCACTAATACTTATCTTATAGATTGGAACCTGATAGAACATTGGCGACTAGGCGTCTTTCTGGGCGTAAAATGAGTAAAGAGCGTCTCTCAATTGCGTTGTGCATGAATGCTGATGGTTCACACAAATTGGTCCCTTTTGTTATTGGAAAATATGCAAAACCATGTTGTTTTAAAAACATAAATATTAAAAATTTGGCAGTTAAATATAGGAATAGTGCTAGGGCATGGATGATCACTAGCTTATTTCAGGATTGGCTTAAAGATTTCGATTTTCAAATGGGTATAAAACATCAAGGCGAACGTGTATTGCTTATTCCTGATAATTGTATGAGCTATAGCAAGAATGGTCTTATCTTACGATACACTGATATTCTTTTTTTACCACAATATAACTACCATCATTATCATATAATAGCATCGGGCTTCTGGGCAAAGATACAAAACTTCTGGGAGAAAATACAAGGCTTGTAGACAAAAATACAGAATGATCAATATTATTATTGGGCAATAGAACTGAACAAACAACACCATCAAGTGATTGTTCTGAATCATCAATATTGTTAAGCAAAAATCTACAATATATAAATAATATAAAAAAAATAAAAATTTATAATAAATAAAATGCTCTATTAAATACTAGTCATACCATCATCCAGGTTTGCTTCGTAATCAGCATCAGAGACCTTGATTGTATCTGGTATTTCTTCTTCGTCGAAAATATTATTTGTATAAAGTTTATTTACCAGAGTACAATCACCACAGAGCTTGTCTCCATAGACCAATTCATAGAGGTTTTCTTGTGAAATCTGTACTATGAATTGTTCATTGCAATCACAACAAACCTCAAACCAAAGAACCAGTTACTTCTACCGGTTGTTTCATGCTATTTTCCTAGCTTCTGTTCCAAGATACTATTTTGCATGCTCTACTAAACCTTGGGACTAAGAGTGCCTAAGATGTCTATTTATAATTTTTACTGATAGCCATAATGCGATTAGTTCCTTGATGACTTGTGCTACAAATTCCTTGCCATTATCTGATTGTAATATAGTTGGGTGGTGATCCAATTATATGAAAAAGATTAAACAGGTAGGAGGCAACTTCAATTAGTCTTTTGGACATAAGGGCCTTGGCTCATGAGAACCTACTAAAGTGGTCTCTTATATGATACACATACTTGAACTCTCCATCAGGAATATAAGATAAATCAATAAGATCTATCTGTATAATAAAATACAATTAATATATAATTTAATTTTAAACACAAGCATAAAATTTATAATACCTGCATCTTGGACAAAAAATTCCTAGCAATGATCGGTTTAGCCGCCAAAGAGTGAAATGCTAGTTTTCTTACTGCACATGCTGTGTAATTGTTCACAAATTGTTTTTCACGATTTCTTGCTTAATATATCCCCATTTTTTATGAATGAACTTCCACATTTGTTTTCGACTGCCATGCTGCGTTATTTTACTATGGGTTTGATATAAAATCTCATAAAATTTTTCAACTATTAATACAGGATTGTTCGTGGCTTTTACAACTACTCTGTAGTCCCCAACACAATTTCCTCCAATTTAAATTTTTTTTTAACCCAACATCGCATGTTTTTATCATAGAGCGAAGTATTCTGTAGATTTAATAATATGGTCTTTATCTTGTTTAAAAGCTTATTATTTATTAACACTTTTTGCTGTTTTGCTTTTGGAAGATTATCTATATACTTTTTTACGATTTGGTCAAGAGTATTTCTACTGATAAATGTATACTCCATTTTAAGAACAAGATTGGGGTTATAAAGTAAAGTGGCGCCAAAAAACAAAGCCAATACTTAAGGTAGATAAAACCAGACCAGAATTATAAGCAGCACCAAAAAAAAGAGCCAAGACTAAAATTATAAGCAGCACCAAAGAAAAGATCCAATGTTTAAGGTAGGTAAAACCAGACCAGTGTAATAAGCAGTACCAAAAAAAGAGCCAAGACCAGAATTATAAGCAGCACCAAAGAAAAGATCCAATGCTTAAAGTAGGTAAAACCAGACCAAAGTTATAAGCAGCACCAAAAAAAAGAGTCAAGACCAGAATTATAAACAGCACCAAAGAAAAGATCCAATGCTTAAGATAGGTAAGAAAAGATCACAGCGCCAAAAAAATCTAATGCTCGAGAAGTAAGAACAAGATCAAAGTTACAAGCAGCACCAAAAAAAATCCAAGATCACAGTTACAAGCAGCGCCAAAAAAAATCCAAGATCACAGTTACAAGCAGTGCCAAAAAAAAAAATTCAATGCTCAAGAGAGGTAAGAACAAGATCACAGCACAAAAAAAAAATCCAATGCTCAAGAGAGATAAAAAAAGATCACAGTGCCAAAAAAAAATCCAACACTCAAGTAAGGTAAGAACAAGATCAAAGTTACAAGCAGCGCCAA